ATACATAAGAGTTAGAAAAAAAAACGTGACAGAATAATGTGAATTGTCGGTGAATTTGCTGATGGAAAGCAAGTTGAAGTGAAAAGAAGGAACATGCAAGACGTTATTGAGTGTAAGGCCAGGGAAAAGCGTCATTGTTCCGATGTGTGCGACAAGGGCATGAAGACTATTATGGAGTTGAATAGAAGATGAAGGAGTGGGTGTGGTGTACGCGAAAAATAGTGACAATTCAGAAATCGTGTGATCAGTGGCACCTGAGTCTATAATCCAATTAGGTGAGGAATAAGAAGTGACTAGACAAATGGGTGTACCTGCCATGTTTGCCAAAGGGTGAATATTACCGGATGGGATCAATGAAAGCAGTTGTTGCCATTTGTTAGCCATGAGTTGTGGTGCAGGAAAAGGTTGTTGAGCAAAATTGTTGATGTTGGTGACAACAATTGCTTGATGATGGTTCCTGATGTTCACTGGCTTCGGACGTCCAGCATTGGATGAGGGTGAGTTGCCACGAGATGTCCACCATGGTGCGTATCCAATGTTTTTGTAGAAAAGTGAAACTGAATGGCCATCCGTATTGCAGGTGTTGCAGTGATATTTCAGTTTGTTGCTAGAGTCAGAGCGAATAGATTGCGTAGAAGAAAAGTGTTGAGTTGCCATGACGGCTTGTTTAGGCGGTTGAGAGAGAAAATCAGTCAAGGACTGATGTCTTTCCTCTTGGAGTAGCAAGGAATATGCCCTGTTGACAGAGGGCAAAGGATCCATACGGAGTATTTGACTCCAAACTGATGAGTAGGCATCATTCAAGCCTTGCAAAAAATCCATGAGTTGATCCGAGTCCTGCACATCTGTGAAAGTTTTCATGGCACCACAAGGGCAAGCAGGAGGTGTGTGATAAGAGGAGAGTTCATCCCAAAAACTCTTGAGGGTAGAGTAGTATGTAGAGATAGAGTCAGTGCCTTGTGGATGATCTGAAATTGCACACTGTATCTCAAAGATATGCGATGCATTTTTTTGAGAAAATCAATCGCGGAGGTCAATCCAAACGGCATGGCATTGTCGATCTTGAGAGCGTTGTTGGTTATGGAGGGAATGATTGAATGAATCAACCATGATTGTTGCATCGAATCCAAAGATCCAGTTGAGGGGAATCGGATGCGGGTTTTGGAATGGAACCATCTATGAATCCGAGTTTGTTCTTGGCTTCAAGGAACATGGTAAATGCATGGCTCCAAGTGGGATAATTATCGCCAGTGAGAAGCTAGGAGACGAGAGAATTATCGAGTTGATCAGAAGTGTGTACAAAATGTGGAGATGATTGATCCAAAATAGATGGTGTTGAGTTTGGAGCGACGGTGGACGGGGGCCTATCAGTGGCCATTGTTGTTGATGGAAGGGTCCAGAAACGTATTTAGGCTGATACCATATTAAGTCGCATAATTGGGAATAGAATGAGAACAGGGTTCTACTTTTCCATTGAGAGAAGGTCAACATATATACAATGTACATACTAGAATTACTGCTATAATTAAGGAGCTAAAATTGGGCTATACATTAATGCCTAATATTGCCATAAACAGATTCCTGAGAGAGGTTACAAGTATGGTATATTGCTATGAATAGATTCCTAAGATTGCGGCTACAAATATGGTAAGAAATAGATATGGATCTCTTCCTAAACAGTGGTATAGCTATGGAATAGAGATGAGAGATCGGTGGATCGTCCCGATAAGGAGAGCGGGTCTAAAAGGGTTTACTCGGTCGGATTTTGTCAAGGGTTAGAGAGGTAACTCTATGTCCCAAAATCTATAATGTAACTTTCATTGATATAATGGATTTCAGTATGTCATCCTCGTGGATGTAGCCCTCTTGAGGTGAAATACATAAATTTTTGTGTCCTTATGCAATATATGTTTCATTTATTTCTCGTATTGTGGCTTGTGCTCTCTCCTATTTTGTTTCTAACTGGATAAGTACACGATCTTGGTAGAATCTAACTTTTGGATTCTTGTTTCCACATCTAAGAGGTTCTTAAACCCTAACATAAGTTGTGTTGTTACATCCAACTCCTTTGATAAATGGGATTGTTGTAGAAAGGAAATTTTTTTTTATTTTACACGAGTTGGGTATGATGAGAAAAGTTGGATTGGCTTTCTTTTTCACTCTCTCTATCTTAGATTGGGTTTTCTTTTACACTCTCACACATAGACTCTCTCTTAGATTAGATTTTTCTTGTTTACTCTCACACGCACATACACTCTCTTTGTTTGGGTTCTCTCTCTCTCTCAATTAGGCACATGATTGGGCCCCAACTTTAATCTAAATTTAAATACGCTACCTCTAGACTGGCAAAATATTGGTAAAAATATGAATGAAAATAAATAATAAATTCAATAAATTATTTTAGGAAAAAAAAAAAGAAAAGAAATGAATAGGCCAAACCCTTTTTCTTTAGAAGCGCAGGTGACTAGGAGATAATAAAATTAAATAATTTGAGTTAGAGAGATTCATTTTTATAGAAATTGTAGCATTTTAAAAGTTCATTTTGACTGTAAAATGCTTGTAATTGACAACAAATATTTAGAGATGAGATAGGTTTTCAGTATTTACGTATTTCTATTAAAAATTTTATTAAAATAATGAAAACCCATATGCAATACCCAAATATTGTAAACACTCAACTCACTAATCTATTACAGGAGCTAAAGGAGGTTAAGTTATCAATTTCAGTGGAAGATGAGGTTGTTCGGGAGTACGAGAATGATGGGGTGTTCACAGTGAGATCCATGTACAACTTACTTTTCTATGATCAACTAAGATGGCAAGGAGGTTGTTTAAATGAGTTTTGAAAATGGCAACTTCTTCATAAAGTGCAGGCAGTCCTTTGGTTGACAACTTCAGGAAAAGAGAGAAAGTTATTGTCAATGTATGCCTATTTTGTAAACATGACGAGCACTGTCCTTTTGCTTTTCAAATTTGGAGGTGGGTATAACTGAAAATGGGTTACTTGTTGGTGATCCTGAGTAGCCTTATGGATATTATGTGTCATTTTCAGATTCCAGGCATGCCGAGATCTGGTATGGTTATATGGAGAATTTTGAAAGCGTTAATTTTATGGGAATTATGGAAGGAGAGGAATATGAGAACTTTTGATGGTGAGTGTTTGGAGAATGAGGACCTGAACAACATAATCTTTATGACTCTTTGGAGATAGTTTTCTATAACTAAAAAAGGATGAGGAATTTCCTTTGTGAAAATTGAGGGTAATTTGTATAGCGTGATTCCTCAATGCATCCAAAAGGTTCTTATCTACAGGTAGGTGGCTCCTTCGGCCTCATGGATAAATTAAATTGAATTTTGAGGGTAGTTCATGGGGTAATCCAAGGCTGGTTAGATTCGATGGTGTGTAGTGGGATACAAATGGTCAGATTATCTTTAGTAATGCAGGTCCATGCGGTTCTGTCACAATAAAGCATGCTGAGTTATATGCGTTATGGGATGGGCTTTCTCTTTGTAGAGACCGTGGTATTGCTGGCCCTATCATAATTGAAAGTGATTCTCTCAATGTTACTTACTGGTGTAGAAAGGAACATAAATCCCATAGAAGCTCAAGTACTAGTGGCTCAAATTATGGATCGATGTTTGAATCGATGTTTCGACCATAATAAATATCTACGGTTCCTCTTACGTTGTGTCTTGCCCTTTTTAATCCAAGAAAAAGGTACTCTACAATCCCCCTCTATTTTTTCTTCTCTTGGACCGTGCAATGCACAGGCTGCACGCTACAAGCTCTTAGTTCTCGTAAATTTCTTGTTCTTCGAGGAATACCGCGATTTAGTTGTTATCATTTTCTCTTTTTTGGTAAATAAATGGGAAAAGATTCTCTATCTGTGGCAGAATTAGAACTTAATATCTTGAGTTCTCTTAATGATTAGACCTATGGCTTAAAAAATTGTTTTCAGTAGCGATCTGAAGATATTGGTCCCCTCCTTGAATGAGGGTGCTTCGCTAGTTTGGGTTATTGAGAGGTCCACCAAGTTAGCAAGTGGGTGCATCACTTTTCAACTTTTTAATATATATGTTGCATAACATTAGCTATCTTTTCTGAGAATAGACGGGATAAGTCTTTATGGTGCCGGAATCTCTATTTATGAAGATATGAAATAGTAGAAATAGTAGGAAAATCTAAATTTTTGAAATGGAAAAACCATCTCTTTTTATCATAGTGACTAGTGTTACTACAACCGGACCTATCATTGAATCGGTGAAAGATTTAGTCAAGGCAAAATTAGTTCAACCTTAGTCAATAGTCAAACTTGTTGAATCGGATTTTAGAAAGAACGAAAGGAAAATTAGATATACTAGTTTAAAAATATAAAATGTGTTAAATGATTTTACCCAACTTCATTCAGTTGGTCAACCTAGTTAAAATAGATGTGTCTAATTAGTCAAAACCAGTCAAATATTGGTTTTGACTGATTTTTTATCAAATCTGCTTATACCTTGGACCAAACCAGCCAAAGTACCAGTTGATAGTTCGACCAGACGGACCACCAGTTTGGATCGGTCTTGATAACCATATTAGTGGCACTCTTATCTTCGATACTTAGTTTAATCTGTATTCCATCACCATAAGTTGTGTTGCCAATAATAACTATGATGGTGTCTATCAAATTTATCATGCTATTGTAAAGCTTTTCTATTAAAAAACCTTCCCAATGATAACACGCATGCCAAATAAGTCAAATGGGAGCAATTGCAATGAATTGGAAATTAATACAAGAGATAAATTTATTAAGTTGGATGGTGATAGGTAACGATCGGTGGTAATTCAACCAAATGATATTCATTACAAATTATCGTCAACATTATAATTTGTAAAATATTTAACGTATTGATGTGAAATTGTCTTTGTTTGTTGAAGAGTTGGGAAAAAGTTTTGATGAAGATCATCATCATCATCATTCAGATTGAGGGCCAACCCAACTAACCAAGTAAAAAAAAAAGAGAAACAAAAAGAAAATTTTTATTCGATTCACACATAGGAACGAGCTCTTGACATAGGTAGTCAGGGTGGCGGTGCCACTCCATTACATTTTACCAGGTCCCATGTGAACATTAAAGAAAGCGACATGTGAATGCCACCAAAGTGGTCTCAAGATCTTCTCTTTAGAAAAGTTATGGTAGATGATGAGTCATTGTCGAGTTGGAAAGAGTCATATCGCATGAAGAGCTCCGCCAAAATGAGGCGTGTGGTGGCCATGACATAGTCCTTGGCCACGCACTGCTTGTTCTCCACCGAGGGTGTCGCAGTTTGAGGGCCATTTGACCAATAGACATATTGAATTAGGCCCTCACCCCCTCGCTCTTTGATGAACCTATCGGCCCTAAACTCTTCCGGCGCCTCAAAAACCTTGGGGTCCCGCATGGCGAGAGGCTGGAACCCACACAGCAGCTCCCCTGCTTGTACCCCATAAGAACAATCGTGCGACTTCAAGATAAAGTCACGCCGTGCCCGCCCATACTGGAATGCCACCGGTGGATTTATACGCAGGGCCTCATAGACTGTCGAGCTCAACAATTCCATCTCTGACACTGCATTGAAGCTCACTCCCTCATGTGTGTTCATCACATCCCTTACCTCTGTGCGCAACCTCTCTTGCAGTCTAGGATCCTTTCCAATGTAGGAAATCAAAGAAGGAAGGAAGATCGAGAAGCCACCAAATGCATTGAATCCGAGAGTATACAGAAGATTGTGTGTTGCTTGGGCCTCCGTGAGGCCGTATTCGTTAATGGCGATCGATAAGACATCCTTCGCGTGGTTGAGAATGAAATCATAAAGCTTCTGATAGCCACCTCGAACAAAGGCAAAGGGTAAAGGGAAACTGTGGAGCAAGAGCTCTTCCAAGGGGTAAGGGATCAGGCCTCCGGTGCCCACAGTTGGAACGAGCTGGGGGGCGAGCCACTTGTCGATTATGAAGTGGCCATTCTTGGCAATCTCGGGATCTACAGCGGGGTCAGCCCCAAGCAGCACCTTGGAGAGGAAGGAGAAGAGAAACTTTTGCAAGGGTAGCAGCACACCAGCACTGCCCTTCTCCTGTACATCCTTCTCTAGCGTGCTCCATAAGGGCTCCAAGCTACTCTGGAGATCTGGTACCCATGTCTTCAAAAATAATTAAAAACAAAGACTCAGATAAACTTTGATGCCATTGGAAAGGATAATAGTTCTCAATAACTAAATAAAAATTGGATCCATGGAATTATATAGGTGCCATGGAAGTGTATAACCACTGGCACCAATTGTTTGAAAGCTTATACAGAGGGCACCTTTTGATCCATAGAACCTGTCAAAGGGATGAAAACCAAGCAACAAAACACCAAAGGAGCCATACGAAGATTATATAAACTGAGAAACTTAACAATTCAAGATGCCAATGGAACCTTGAAACCAGTGTTTTAAAAAACGCCGAGTCGAACCGGACTCACCCGGTTCGACTCGGAAATCATGAAAAGGGGACCGGATCTCCTAAAAAATCGGAAATCGTCCGGTTCTAGAGAGAACCGGACGATTCTGTACAGTGAATGTACGGAATCGGCGAGTCCAAATAGTGAATCGGCGAGTACGTAGGGTTAATTTTTTTTTTTTTTTTTTTTTTTTTTTTTTGTTTGAATCCATGATCGATTTTTTTGTAATCCATGATCGAATTGTTTTTGTTTTTTTGTAATCCATGATCGAATTTTTTGGTTTTTTGTAACCCATAATAGACAAAAGTCCTATCGATGGATCCCCCCTAATCTATCGACATAAGAGACAGTAAGCTTCCTCCGCTAGAGAGGCTATTGTTTCTATAGGAAGAGGAACTAACCCCGGCGGCTTCTAATTGGCACCCTACCCATTGCTCCTCCTCTCTCGGGTCAGCCAGAGAAAATAGGCAGCCTCTTAGTGAAGGGATTATGGTTAGTGAGTCTGCGACCGAGTCTGATCGGACAATAGCAAGGATCTGGATTCGGAGGATCATTCACAGAAGATGGAATCTGAGACTGCCTCCTAGTATGGGAAAGATTGGGAGACTGTCCATTGGGAAAAGGAGGCCTTTTGGACGGGGGTGGCTAGAATCCGATTCTGCCAATCATTTGGGGAATAGTAAGGGAACTGGAACTTCAAAATTGTGGTTCTCCCGTTTGGAATAGTGGGCCTCTATTTTCGACTTGAAATCAATTCCTTTAAGGAACAGCCCCCCTATTCATTCTGGACTAACGGAGCAATAAAGGTAGTTTTCACATGTATACTCTCCCC